CAACAGCGAAGTTTAAGAGGAAAGGTGACAGCGGGCCACAGTACCGTACGATCGACAGAATCGAAGTCTGCACGGATATCCAGGAACACAGTAATCGTTGGCCTCTGATACACGTGGCGGAGCTCGAGGATCTGGCGGAGTGTGAAGATTTGATCGATGCAGCCGCGACCAAGACGAAACCCAACTTGTTCTTCTCATTGCAACGATTCGCGTGTTAGGGATAGCCTGCGAAGTATAATGGATACCAGCAGCTTGCAAACGACGGGGACTAAGCTTATGCCTCTGTAGTTGGAGCGGATTGTGTGCAGTCCCTTTTTGAAGATGGGGACGACTATCGATTCACTCCAAGATGACGGAACTTTCTCTTTCGACCAAATTTTCGGGAACAGAGCGGTGAGTTCTCGAACTAGCGAAGCGCCACCATCTTTAAATAGAGCTAGAGAAAGACCATCAGAGCCGAGGGCTTTATAACGCTTTATGTGCCGGAGCTCCTGCTCGAGTTCCTGATAAGAGGGAGGATGTGTGAGAGTAGACAACTCGGCTCCAGCGCGAACGCCAGTGGTAGCAGATGGAGCTGGGGGCCAACAAAACTGCGAGCCAAAATGTTCGGCCCATGGCTCCAACCGTCGTTAAAGATTGGCGATTAAGGTGCCCTCCTCTTTGCATATTGTTTCACTTATACCAGATCGAATACCTTCGGTGTCTCAAATGAGATGGAAAAGTTTTCTGGTATTACCAGAGAGACTAGCAAGCTCCATCTCCCTAGCACGTTCACACCACTAAGTTTCGCTGTCCATTTGCAGACTCCTGCGCAACTCTCGACCAAGGGATTGGCGTTCTTCACTGTGTCTGGAATCCGACGGGATCAATCGGCGTTTGTCCATCAGCGACAAGGAGACGGCGGAAATCCAATGCTTCGGTGGGTGACGAGCAACTCCACAAGTGTCGATACTGGCGGAAACTAAGGCATCTTTGATCTGCGCTCACTGCGAGTCGAGATCACCATCAATAGTTGAGCCAAGCAAGGTTGACAGTGAGGCTTGATACCTGGTTAAAATCGCAGGGTTTTGTAGATATGCGACGTCCGCTCGGTAGTGAGCGCGCTTAGGTGATCCTCCGAAACGCATGCAAATCTTAGTACGAACCAATGCGTGGTCGGAGTCTAGATAAGTTGACCAATAAGATTGGCAGTCCGTTACGCTTCCGCGCCATCTGTAGCTGATTGCTATGTGGTCAAGCTGGGAGCACTCTTGCGTTTGTGAGGGCGGGCGCCAGGTAGCAGTGTGTCTCCTCGAGTGCCGAAAACCAGTGCTCGAAAGCTACAAGCGATGATCAGAGCAAAGAGCAGGCGGTCTGTCTCCATTGTCTGATCGACTGCCACCGAGACCAAAACTACCCCCAAGGTGGTGCTCGCTTGATGGATGGCGACCAACCCGCGCTTTAAAGTCCCCGGCAAGAATGACTATATCAGTCCTTTTGGAGGGACGCAGGAGTTCATGTAGCTGGTAGTAAAAGCTATCTTTAACGGCATCCGGGCTGCAGTCTGTAGATTCGTAGGCGGAGACGACAAACAAGGCACGGTTAACCTCTCAACGCCTGTTTACGTTACATGAACTTCGTAGTCTGACTGCACATAGCCGACTGTTGACTGGGATCCGGTCAAGCAGAACTGATTCAACCCTGGCACTCAGTGGAACCCCAACACCAGCTTGACCAGTGGCGGCAGCTTCTGGGTATCCGGAAAGCCGCAAGTTGTATTTGGTTTCAGGGTTTACCGGAGAGGTCATTCTGATGACGGCGCTAGAGTCTTGTAATCTGGTCTCTGAAAGGCAACAGATGTCTACCGAAAGCGTTTCAAGAGTACGGGCCAGACATACTTGTCGTCCGATTTGCATCAAAGTTCGAACATTAAACGCTGTGAGGATGAATGGTGAACCAGGTCGAAGAAGAGCTGGAGCTTCGGAAGAGTGAGAGGCGGTTGCGATCGCAAGACATTGAAAACCGGGAGGTTGGCTGTTGCTTCCATCAGTTGCGAGATGTGGGTCGTTTGTGACGGTGACCGAAGAAGACATAAGAGTACATATAGGTGAAGGACAGATGGGGTGATCTGTGGGTGGAGGTTGTGCGGTTGAGTTAGCATAGAAGATTGGCATAGTAGGAGCGGTAGTAAGCAGTGTTGTCCATGATTCACCAGTGGATGTGATACTACCCGGTTGCCCAGGCCGAATTAGAAGGTTGTCATAGGGGCCCTACCCCGAGCCTTTGATCAAAGATCTAACCTACAAGGCAGCAGGATGATGTGAAGGCATCGCAACTCGTTGGGAGCCGGTGACCAAATAGATGGTTCATACGCCTTTCGGTCCGTGAAGGACCAGGGGCCCAACACACCCTTAAAGTACAATGCCTCTCAGGGAGGGGCAAGGGGCAGTGACTTTATTTAGTGGCGAGTCACATCTGCCACGTCGCAGTGTTGTTAAACAGACATTTGTGGCTTTTTATAGGGAGAACGCTTGCCAGGCGAAAACCCACCACGTCCTGGAACACTGCCGCCGAACCATTTGCTGGAACGGGAAAAACCCGAACCACCCAGCTGGCACCACGAGGAGATTGTTCGGCAAGCCAGCCGGGCACCACAAGCTTGTGGCGGTGTCCGCCTGTGTTGCGTGATATTCGCAAGTACAGTAGCCGCCTCAACATGGGTACGTCACTGAGTTGTAATATTCGGTAAACCATTATAAGATCGACTCGTAGTCAACGATTGAGCAAGGTGTAGTGTCCTAGTTTTTTGCACCATTCTTCGTACTATACTTCTCGTAAACTTAGAATGAGCCCGGTAGCGACGTGTTGGACCCTTTTGACCTGTGCCTCACCACGTAGGGGTGAGCGTCGTCGCGGTATACTCAGCCCGCGCGCGACTGGTGGTGGTCGCGTGGCAGCGAAGCGCCATTACGGCGTACAACTGACACATTATTTATTATTATTATTCTTGTCAACAGACTACATTTCGCAGCGCGAGAGTACATCTAAGTCCTTCACGGAAGGTGTGGGATGTAGCGGTTGACCGTCAATGGTGTAAATTCGGCAATCACCACCCTTCTCCAGACTCATAAATACCGACTTGGATGGGTTGACCGTGAGGCGGACTTCCGCAGACCACTTGGAGAGGCTGTCGAGATCTTGCTGAAGTAGGCCTCAGTCGTCATGGGTGCTTATTACTGTCCACATCTTCAGATCATCCGCGAAGGGGACATATGGCAACCGAAGAAGCTGAGGTCGATCGTTTATGTGGATAAGGAACGGAGTGATCCCTAGCACCGTAGTAGAGGGATACTAGTCATTTAAATGGCCTTCGACCTGTACCCTCACTCTCGCTCAACGAAAAAGTCCTGGATCCACTGATGCAGTGACCCACATGGTTTACTTTGTCGAACGCTTTACTGAAATCGATGTAGAATACGTCGACAGACTTCCCCTGATTTACTGCCTGCAACCATTCTTACCTCGTACTCAGCAGTTTAATAATGCGTGAGCGGCCTAACATAAAACCGTGCTGGGCGGGCGTCAGTAGATCTTTTGATTGGAGCAGCTGTAGTAGACCCTTGTTCACGATCTCCTTACGATCTTGACAAATAGGTGTCAGATAAAGCGGCTTGTAGTTGGCCACTTTGCTGGGGTCGCCGCCTTTTGGAATCGGCTTAGGCACTGAACATTTCCGGTCACTTGGCAATGAACCAGTGGATAGTGACGTGTTGTACAAGTCAGTCACAGCGGGTGATAGGATGACTACTTCACATAAGGAAAGATTCTATTCAGACTGTCTTTTCGGCCGTTGCGAGATGCTGTCCGAAATGCCGGCACTAGCTCGTATTTGCAATATTGCACTATTGTACCGAGTGGACAACTGTTGACCACTCAGCACCAACCATCCAATTATATCTTAATTCTGGCCAGAATATTTACTTCGATAGCTAAGCACACGAAGAGACGCGTCATTTAACCGGCAAACAGATTGTTTGATGTTTTGAAGATCGCACCCGATCAATTCAAACTGTTGTGGTGACCATTGGTTTAGAGCAGCGACACCAACGCAGCCGAATAATAGCAGTCCCTTGGGAATCGATCTGATCCCTCATGGAATCTCTTGTGATTCCACTTCTCCTTTAGAAGTGGTGCCAAACTTTATGAGGAAAACTACGCTATCCTCAATATCATTTCGCCTTTGGGTTGATTTCTGACCAATTTTAGTTGTTAGCTACTCATTTCGTGTGAATACTGTTAAACTAGTTCAGTACTTCGAATAACATCTTTACACCTGGCATATTTACTACATTCGTAGCTCTTTGACGCCTAGCAGTGGTTTCCGTCAGGTTATCTGGTAATCGAACAAGCCACCGCTGAAGCTACTTCGGCATTGCTCAGTGTGTGAGCGTTGTTTTGAAATGAGTTTTGGAGGTCATATTTACCCTGTTCGCTCAGCACAAGCACAACCGAACAACACCTAAATTCCATTGCCATACTCCGTGCGACTTGTCGGTCATCTTCGTCTATTTCTTGCTCCGTGGAATCTCGTCGGCTTTGTTCCGAAGGCATTGTGACCTGCATTCACCTTTCGCGATCGCCTACGCACCGAGGAACACACAAGTCATGTAAATGAAGTTTGCAGCGGAAAGGCGATCCCACGTCCCTATTACTTGCAGGCACGAAATGCTAAAATCTAGGCATGTTATTTAGGAATTTCAGCGAACAGCGCATTCCCTTTGTTCTTTCGCTTGTTGTGACATCAACAGATGCAAGCAACTGCATCGTGGTGTTTTCGACCTATTCTCTGTGATTTTCTAGCCTTTTTTATGTCAACTATCCACGCCATTTGTCCCCTTCCACCGCATGCGCTTATGCTGTATAGCTTGCTTACCATGAGCGCTGAATTCAAATTGTCCCGTACAATCGTCTCTGCTGAGGTTTACTTGGAATGTCTTTTTTTAATTTATTTCCTGTTACAGATGCTTTCCGAAGGTGAGCATACTTTGGAACGACTACGCATCAGAAATAGGGTGATCAACCGGGCGGTTATGGCCATCGATCCTTCTGCTGGGCGAAGACATCAGCATGAGGTCATCGTCAAGTCGGGCTTGGATGAAACAGATACCTACAATTGGGGTGAAGCCGATGTGGACAACTACATTCAGGCATATGACTGTCGTCCACCTCCAATTTTCATCCCCGTTGTGACTTTATTGGAGGTTGGTTTTACACCCTGGGGGTTCTTAAATCTTCTTACAGTTATGTTGACAGTTACTAAGTGGCCAGGTACTCTATTTAGCTTTCAGTTCTTTTCGGATCGGACGCCATAGGTTAGCGCCAGCTAGAACCACGTTTCCACACTAGGAGTGTGGGACACTTGAACTGCCACGACCGTTGGGATGCACAGCACTTCCACGCATACGCGCGTCCTCTTTTGATCGTTTTATGTCCATACCTCTTGTTCGCACTTTTCCTTTTATTCAAATTTCCCGACGTGAATCCAGAGATGAGTTTCATGTTGTCTTGGCCGGTAGTCGTCTTGTGATATGAATTCGCTTTTCATTAGGACGCTGCTAAAGGAACCACGGTTCAGGCGATCCGAGATACAGTGCTTTACGGCACATTTGCCGTCAGAAGACACCGCGCACGATGGAGGAACGCGCATTCATTTCTGCAACTTTGCGCTGCTTTTATTTTTGAATGCGATGTGCTCTCCTGCGACAACGATGTTGCTACTACAAGCTTACTATGCATCTGCACTGAATGAATGGTACGCGGAACATCGGAGTCACGGTGTTCTTGAGAATCTTTTGTTCTTAAATGGACCGACGTAATCATACCAACAGGAGACAAACATTCCCCGTCACCTCGAGAATGAACCCTTTCATGAGGCCATAGTTAGCTGGTCTATTGAATTACGCAGGATTGCGCTTCCTTAGTAGTTCTTAAGCCGCTCGTATCGAATAGGCTAACGGCTAGAGGTCGCATGAACTTTGTTGCGACATTTTCTTCAGAGGAGGCTGTTGGGGGTTTGAGGCGCAATCATAATTAACAACTGTCTACTGGTCATAGGCTCATCTCACTTGTTATCTTCTGTAGACTGAAACTTAGCTTGATGCGACTCATTGGACTTTGCTGTATGCCACATTGTAAGCACGTTTAGCACCACGCCTATCATGCTGGTCAACAGTTAATGGTCAAATATACTGAGTCAGCATTCTCGTCACTGAATGATCTGTTCCCGTCTTGTTGTTGCTGCCGGCAATAAGAAAAAGTCGTTAACCACTTTCCCACAAATCTCAGTTCGATTTTTTTCGAGCACATGCCACACGAGTTGTCCGTGATGGCCGTTACCAGACACTTGGTTAATAGGATACAGCCAGTGAAACGGACCTGCGATTGACTGACTCTGTGTGTAAGGCTCACCGGTTACTGTCTGGAAGCCCACGCAACTAACACTGAGTCTCCAGCGAGGTCCGCTGGTGACCGAAAAGGTTGCGCGTCTGTGTTGTGATCTGGAAGTCACCGGCTCGAATCCGCGTAGGTGCGGGCGACCTCGCAGTATACCCAGCCCTCGCGCGTCCGGTGGTGGTCGCGTGGCAGTGAAGCGTCGGTATGGTGTGTTGGCATACTACTGTATTTTGTCTATCCGCCATTTTGTCACCATTTTGGGTATTGAAGTGTTGATTTCTTGTTGCCGGTCTAGTCGTTGTTCCATCTTTTAAAAGGATGGTTAAAATGTTATACGAAAATCATCGCTGTATTGACCTTATTGTCACTGCTTCCAAGTTCTTCGCAAGCGTCTTTTTCCGACTACCTATTAGTTTTCAGAAAAGCAGGATCATGAATGCGTTGGCCTCATGTTTGTACAGTACGAAACACATTGGCAGGTATACATAGGGCTTGACGGATTTCATTGAGTTGAATACTGTCTTTAATTCAGTTTACTGTGCTAGCTTATGATGCTGCCTATCTTTGAAGTGAGTTCCAGACTAACTTTTCATGGTCCATTTGCTCACTTAACTTGGCAATTTCGTTGCATTGCTTCGTCACACATTAGAGTGACATCAGACGATTGTTGCGCGCTCTTCGCTGCAAACATCCGCTGCTGGCATACTCTGCGAACACCGAGGATCAGTGGCTTGACGGCATATCGAGCCCTCAGACTAAGTGGACTATGTACATTCCAACGTGCCATGGCGACCATCTGTTTTTAGCTGCTATCCAAAAACATCCCCAAAGTTTTCTCTTCTGAGTGATGTCCCTGTGCATGAACCTGTCCATGGCGGCCACCTATCCAAGACGGCCATTTTGTGTCGGTCCGTTGGGTGGTCGCGTTAGGTCGGTTTGACTGTATCTCTGGAGAGCAAAACCTCCACTGTGGTTGTCAAAGCCATCGTTCATAGAAACCATCCATTTCATATCTATACTTCATCTCCAACTCTGAATTAGCGGTAACTGAAGTCAATTTTCCAGAAGCAACTCATTGAAAGGGTGTGGCAGCCAAAACCAATCAGTGGGACCCACCAGTGAGTGCAACTGACGAGCTCCAGCAATTTCTTACTTCAAGAAAACATTAGGTAAGGCAACACACTTATCAGCATAGCCAGCTATTTCCTACTGTTGTGTACCGCTGTCTCTCTGGCCGTTATGGAAGCTATTTATCATGGTCCTCATCTTTTAACTTAGAGAGTTGGTTGGGTCGGGATCTTCAGCACTAATATCGTATCATCCATGTTGCTGCTATAAACCTATGGAAATCCTCTACTGGTACCATAACTGTCATTGTGACTGAGACTGTATTTAAGAGCAAATAGAAAGGTTTCTGTACAACTCTATCGAATTACAAAAGATCAAAAACATTTAGTTGTGAATCATCAGCAGTTGTGTCTGGTCCGTTAATCGTTTATCCTTGTTCGGTTAGGAATTTGTACTAGTGTCATTATTTCCGGGCATACAATGTCTTCTTTTGGCATTGTATGTGCATCGTTTCACAAAAGCACAGGTTTCCGAAATAATCGTCGATACGGGCTTTAAAACACTTCACAGAATCGGCCTCTATTAATCCTTCTGGTAGTGTATTCCACAAGTTTACTATTCTTCGTTCGATACAAAGCTGATGTGATACTTTGTTCATGCAGGGGACCCTGAGTTTGTAACGGTGTCCTTGGGTGTTACAGGGTTCCCCCAGGTGAAATATTAGCCGCAGTATGGGGAAGTGATTTAAGTGTAGTACTCGATGGGTCATAATAAGGTCAATTCTTACTCGGCGGTAGGATAGTGTGTAGAGTCCATGCCTTTCACAACGTTTTTCATATGGAAGCTTTTGTAGACTCGGTATCATTCTAGTTACGATATGCTGTATTTTCTCCAGCTTTTCAGTTTCCCATTGGGTTATCGCATGGTAAGCTGGGGCACCGTATTCAAGGATTGGTCTAATGCGCGAGGTGAGTAGACGAGGGACGGTTTCTTCGGACCATGTGGAGAAACTGCGTCTTAATGCCCAGAGCATACGAAGTCCCGCACGGTACAATTTCTCTGTATTTTCTAGTGATCTCATATCATGTCGTGAGAGAACTCCTAAGTCTCTGACAGATGTGTTGGGATGGAGCAACTGGCCATCCAAGGTGTATGATCGAGTGGCCGGACGTCTGGTGATACTGATGAACTCCGACTTGCTTGCGTTAAGAGGGAGTTGCATTTCAGTGGACCACGTTGACAGTCGCTCTAAGTCATGCTGGAGGCGAGCGCAGTCGTCCTGGTTCTCAGTGATCCTCCAGATTTTCAAATCATCTGCAAACAGGGCACTTGGTGACTGGAGCTGCTGCGGAAGATCGTTGATATGAATAAGAAACAATACTGGCCCAAGTACAGTTCCTTGAGGCACGCCACTAGTCGATGGGAACCAGTCTGTCAGGTAGTCATTGACCTGTACTCTAAACTTTCGTCCCACAATAAACTCGTGTAACCACTGAAGTAACGTTCCACCGATTCCGTATGTCCTCAGTTTACCAAGGAGTACCTCGTGGTTCACTCTGTCAAACGCCTTACTAAGGTCGATGTACACCACGTCAACATCCTCCGTGGTTTGCGTACATCAAGTTGGTGATACAGGATCGCCCTTTCGTAAAGCCGTGTTGCGCTGACGTCAATAGGTCTATCGATTCGAAGAACGCTAGCAGACACTTTTTCACAACCTTCTCGAGCACTTTGGATAATGCCGAAGTCAAACAGATCGGTCTATAGTTCTCTAGTTTACTCGGATCACCACCCTTGGGAAGCGGTCTCATTATCGAGCATTTCCAGTCGTTCGGGACAAATCCTTCAGAGAGCGATTTATTTAAAAGGTTCGTCACGGCTGGTGAGATGATAATCGATAGGGACTTGAGTATTAGTGGGTGAAGTCCGTCTGGTCCGGGGGGCTTTGCACCATCAAGGTTGACGAGTAGCTGGTACACTTCGACTGCATCACATTGTAGGCTGTTGAGCAAGACTGGCGCAACCTGTGTCGGTACTGAAACCGCTGCCGGTTTACTGGAAAATACAGTGAGGAAGTGCGTAGCCAAGGCGTCCGCGCACTCCGCGCTTGAAGTGAGCGTCTTTCCGTCTAAGCTCTCTAAGACCGGTAGGTCGCCCCCAGGTTTCATTTGACGTTTCAAGTAGGCAAATATTCTTTTGGGTGCCGTTGTGGCCGAGGATGCTAGCTCCTCTTCGAACTGCCGGCGTTTCTTGATCTTTGCGGCGTTACATAAATTACACTGTTTCTTGTACACCGTGTAATCCTCATCACAACCCGAGCTGATGTATCCATCCCAAAGTTTGCGACGCCGTCGCGCTAACTGTCTATATTCCGTATCAAACCAATGCGGTTTGACAGGTCCGATCTTTGAATACTTAAGGGGAACGAACCGAGTACAGGCGAGTTAAGCTTCTCCTTCATTAGTGACCAACAGGCCTCCAGTGACGCATCCTGTGGTAGTGTCCAATCAGTCTGACTTGCAGCTTGGACAAGCCCGTTGAAGTTCGTCCTCCAATAGTTAAATGTCGACTTCCGTTGATTGTAATATGGTAACGACAGTTATAAGTTTGCCACAATGGAGCAGTGGTCACTGTCCACCAGAGGTTCGATGACTCTGATCTCGTTCCGCTTCTGCTCGCAGCTCGTAAACATTAGGTCCAGATAAGATGCGGAGTTACGCGCGTCGGTTGGATGACATGT